CAGGGGGGTGGGGGGGGAGGGGGGATTACCAAATGGAGGGATGCTGTTGGGGGGTGGTGGGGAGGGCAGGGGGGCCCGCCGGGGCGCAACCAGACATACACATATAAATAGACAATAACTAGACAATGAAACAACTATGTACAACAACAAACAAACAAATGATTAAACAAGTAAACGGACAACTAAATGAATGTTTGTATATATATATATATATATACACATACATATACAGGAAGAGAGGTATGTATGTATGTATGTATGTATGTATGTATGTATGTATGTATGTGTGTGTATGTATGTATGTATGTATGTATGTATGTATGTATATATATATATATATGTTTATACACATGTACTACAAACAAGCCAAGAATCAACCGACAGCACGGATCCCGAGCACTGAGCCCTCCACTGAGACCAGGAAAAAAACAACTCCATCTAGGGTTTAGGGTTTAGGGTTAATCTTCGGTAGGGTGGCTTTTCTTGATGCAGGCTTGAGTAGCAAGCACTAGGGTTCAGGGTTTAGAAGGCAATTCAAAGCTCCTAGATGGCTTGGCACAGTTTCGTTTAGGCTTCAATGGTTGGGGGTTCGAGATAGCCCTGCCGAGTTTCGCATTTTCGTGTGAGGGTTCATGAGCTTGCCGTCTATCACATGCCTTGGGCAGCAAGAAGCCCTAATGTAGGGGCCTTAATAATTACCTATACTAGTTTTTTTTGGGGGGGGACCTATATTATTTTTCAGGGGTCCTTATTATAAGTATGGTATAAGCCCTAAACCGGAAGGATACTGTGGATGTGGGCTTAGGGTACTGGGCAAGAACAATCAGAGCCTGCGATCTTGGAAAAATCCCTCATGAACTCTTGCGGCCTGGCAAAATCGACTCAGCTCAGCACGTCATCCAAGTTCTGGTATGGTTTAGGGTTTAGGGTTTAGGGTTTAGGGTTTAGGGTTTAGGGCTCCTAGAGGGGACTTCGTGATTTGAGTAGGGTTTGGGGATAATAAATTTTGCATATGGCTACAAGTACGTCAGCGACTATAAGAGGATACTGTTAGTAATGCTTGTGACCCACCGCCTCCCCTATGGCAACCTCATGGTGTGGTCTTTTGGTGGTTGCATCACCCGTGACTAACGGTTCAAGTTTATCATCCAGATTTGATGAGGGCCGCCCGGGAGTCAAAGAGACCCTAATTTCTCCCCACTTCAGGGTTCCTTGTTTCAGGTGTACAGGGGTTCAAGGTTCATGGCCAATTCAGATAGCCGCAAGCATCAGTTGCAGTTCGCCCTACAACCAACTCACAGAGGTTAACAACTAACCTTGTTTCCCAAGCCTGAACCCTGAAACCCTAAATCCCAAAGCCCCTATATAAATCCTAAACTTTGTTTTCAACTTGCAACATGTCAGCATTAGAGCCGCTTAACAGTCAAAGAAGGTCACCACAAACCTTTGCGGAACTGCACTGAAGTACGATCCTCGAAGTACACTGTTAGGGTTCAGGGTTTAGGGCTTAGGCCCTAAACCCTAAACCCTAGACCCCAAACCCTGAACCCAAACTTACGGCTTGGGTGTGGGATTTCGGGTCCAGGGGCTCGCAACTAGCTAGCGTGCCGGTTGTGGGCTTTGGCTTGAGATTTCAGCCTACAGTTTCGGCTCGGGACTTCAGAAAGGCTTAGCTGAACTTCTGTAGCGTCCAGGGTTCAGAGCATAGGGCTTTATCCTAAACCCTAAACCCAAACTGTAAACCCTGAACCCTAAGCAAGCTTTTTATAAGTCCTGAGGGCAAGGGCGTAGAGTTTTAGAGGAGTTGGGGGCTTGGCTGAGAAGGTGAGGGGTGCATACGGCCCGCTGTTTCAAGGTTTAAGGATGTATTTGGAGTGTCGGGGGACCTAGTAAGTAGTTATCTTATTGACGTACAGGTATCAGAACCCCAACTAGTCCTTTTAGGTTACTTATACGTCTACTTTATTGCCTACTTACTAAGCCCCCCCGGCCCTCCAAGTAGGGTTTAGGGTCGAAGGTTGCGGGTGTGGGGTTTAGGTTATGTTAAACCCTAAACCCTAAACCCTAAACCCTAAACCCTAAACTCTAAACCCTAAACCCTAAACCCTAACCGGTTATGTTAGAGCTCAAAATGGCTCTTCTGGAGGGTCTGGGTCCCCCACTCTCCGGAAGCCCCAACACCAACACATGACCCTGTAGGGTTTAGGGTTTAGGGTTTAGGGACCCTAACTAAGAAACCGTGGAGTTTTATCAGGGTTCTTTAAAGGAGTCCTTTTTAGATGGGGGTTATAGGGCCAGGGTTTCTGAATCAGGTTCCGACATTAAACCCCATGAGGAGGGTCGTGTGTGTGTGTGTGTGGAAGGGGGCATGCAACAGCTCAGGTCTAGGGACTGAGGCCTTAGCTAGGGGCTTCAAGAACTATGAGACGGTTTAGGGTTTCAAGGTTTAGGGTTTAGGGTCTAGGGTTCAAGAACTATGACATTATGAGGCTTTGGCATTGGGGGCTTAGACATTACGATCTAGAAATCCTACGCTCCCATTGAACCTGCTCCCCTCCAAACCTTGGGCTGTCGTGGGGTTCAAGGTTTAGGGATTAGGGTTTAGGGTTTAGGGTTCAGCTCTCGTAAACTTCAGTTTCCATTATACCAGGCGCAGGTGTTTTCTACTTCTAGCCTTGTTCTACCGATACTCCCCAAGGCAAGCCCTCGCTTGGTTAGCCAGCCTAAAGCTTCGGATCCGACAACACGGAAAGCTATATAACCGATGAACATATTCGAAGTTAAGAGGGTCCGACGCCTGGTAACTGCCGAGAATTGTCGGGTTTCTCCACTCACAGGTTTGGGTTTTGGCTTTCAGGTTTAGGGTTACCAAAGGGTTGAAAGATCAAAGGAGTGCCCTAAACCCTAGACTAGGTGGAAGGATCCAATGTACCCGGAACAAAATTGCGGTTCGACGCCCATAGAGGCCTGGCTTACTTCCTTGAACTTGGACGAAAGCGTCCGATCCAGAGAACAAAACCATGACGCCAAACCGTTTGCAAAACAGGCAGTGGCTTGCCCAAATTTCTGCATCTAGAAACATGTGTAACGGGGACCTTCAAGCTTTGTAAAGCTCATCTGATTTTTTGGGAAGCCATCCGGGCAGTCAGCGTCACGAGTATCCTATGATGGCCTCTGCCATTCGTCCATGGCAGAAGTCCGAATCAGACACTTTGAAAATCAGATTATAGCATGGAGGAGTTTCTCAAGCAAGCGCACGCAGATCAGTCTGGAAAAATAGTCTTTCCAACTGTTTTGAAGCAGGTGTAGGTAACTGTTCATTCATCTGTTTGTCTAGTTGTGCACTTTGTGTAGTTTTGTGTATATCTGATTATGTACATATATACAGCTGTATATATAGATACACAGACATATATATATATATATAATATACACCCTAGAGGGACCCTGCACATACACAAGTTACAAACATATGCACTCAGCGATACATAGACATTCTCTTGCTGCAAGCATGCCTACATACTTACATACTTTATATGCTTACATACATGCATATATATACATACATACAGATACCTACAGCTACATACATATACATATACATATATACAGAGGCATACATGCATACATGCATACATACGTACTTGCATACGTACGTACGTACGTAAGTACGTACGGACACACACACACACATACATACACACATACATATACATATACACCATGTGCTGGACAATAGGTGACGGAAGATCTGCTGGCTCAAGACGCCCACATCAGCCTGATGTTGACAGTTGAGCGACTCCCATGCAGCAAGGTAAACTATACCTGGAGGTTCATGGGTACTTGCTCCAGTGGTTTGGTTTAGGGTTTAGGGTTTAGAGTTTAGGGTTTGAGGTTAATTACAGTGGATTTAGGGCTCAAGTACATGGAGCAGAAGTAGCCCCTGCATATAGCTCGTTCTGATTTCCAACCCCACTCAAACTGCCTCTGACCCGAATCCCCAGACCATCCCACACCGCTACACCCTAAGCTTGCATCGAATCTACACATGACCCTCCAGAAATGTAAGGGCCCCATTATATGGACAGGGGTATTGGGTATGTTTATGTCGCAGTATATAGTAAAGGGAAGGGACTGGGATAGTCAAAGTCTTCGGCGCTTACGTTACCCATGAACCCTCCAGACAATCCCTTTGGGCTTGACCAGCTCGGTCTAGCCCCGAACAGCACTTCGGGATTTCGAGTTTAGGGTTTAGGGGTTTCCGGGATTAACATACGGGGGGTTTAGGGGTTGATAATTGAAGCCCAAAAATTGGAGCATCATCAACCTGATACGCTGCAGGTAGAGTATAGGGAACCCTAATCCATGCTCTAACTTTCTGCGCTATATAGTATATAGGCCGTAAAGTACTTATATAGGAACCTCTTTACGACCTAAGTTTATGCAACATAGGTAGATGGGGCCTTAGGGTTATGGTTCGGGTTTAGGGCACAGGGTTGCACGGTTCCCTCCGGGACTTCGGCAAGTTAGGGTTTAGGGTTTAGGCGCTTTAGGGTTTACAGTGTAGAATTCAGGGTTTGAGGCTCGAAGGCTTTAGGGTTAAGGATGGATATTGAACGTTGGGATTTGGGGTTTAGGGCTTACGTTTCAGAAAGACAGCAGCTGGATTCCCCGGCCGCCCAAAAGACCTGCCAATCTTGTCATAACCGTAGATTATAAGGCCTAGGGTTTGGAATTTTGTCGTGATGATAGCATTTACAACAAGGCTAGGGTAGAAGGACAATGATGGAACAAAGGGGACTTCATGCGACTCGCGGCTGCGAATGCACTATTCAGGGCAGCGTGGTGCAAGCATACATGCTTCCCACTGCAGCTGCGAAAAAGATCATGGTGGCTTTGAAGATGTCCCATGCTACCAAGATGATATGGCCAAGACCTGTAATTTGCATGACTAAGTGTAGCTACACAGGAATCAGTCACCAATGACAACAGGAAAAATGCTAGCAGGGCATGGTCGCGAACTGTACTGATTTGCTTTCACTGAGCATCTCTCTGTGCAGCTCAACATCCTGCTTCAGCTTGAACATGCCCGTAAACGTTGAAAGCTCCTGACATCGGGCAACATGCATTTCAGGAGATAGGAATTCAGGGTTTGCACAGAAACCCGAACAAGTAGCCAGGATTGCGTGTGTGTGCGTGTGTGTGTGTGTGTTCAAATTGCGAGCTATACCCTGTACCCTACAATCTGAGCTGACTCCTAGACCAAAAAAGCCAAAGCTCAAACGCTGAACCCTGATCGCTAGAGCTTATACCGATCACCATGAGATGATGCTTCATGCAACAGAGCTACACTTGCCATTCTCGCGCAGCCAGCCGGTCAAAACCCAAAACCCTACACCCTTTCGGCTGAGAAGCAACTTGGGTTTACGAACAAGTATCTCCATATAGGACCATGAAGGAAATTACAAAGCTTGCCAAAGTGCCACCAAGTCGGTTCAGGGTTTCGGTAAAGAAGAGTAACAGTAGAAATCCTTGGTATCATACCCCAAAGGCAGACTGCTTCAAAGCTCATGGCCGCGTTCAAGTAGGGCCACCGCTGCAGTTTTTGAAATGAAAACACTAAGTGCCAGGCCCTAGATTAAAGGAAACTACAGGTGGGGAGTTTAGTGTATATAGGGCTTCTATAAGGCTTCCATAAGGTATATAGACCTTCTATAAGGCTCCTATAACGGTAACTACCCACCTGAAAATGTCCTAGACTAGACATTTAATCTAACAATTGAAGCCCAATGAGCCTTCCTAACCTCAAACCACGAGCCCGTAAACCTCAAACCTTGAACCCTAAACCCTGAGCCCGCCAAGGATCTAAACAGTCGAGCTCCAAAAAGAGGGAACCCCGGAACCCTAAACCCTAAACCGTCTAAGTTCAGGGCTTAGGGTCTGAAGTCTGGGGTTTAGGGTCTAAAGGTTCTGGTTTAGGGTCTAAAGTGCAGGGTTTAGGGAGACTCCTGTTTCGGGTTTAGGGTCTAAAGTGCAGGGTTTAGGGAGACTCCTGTTTCGGGCTTAGGGTCTAAAGTGCAGGGTTTAGGGAGACTCCTTCAGCCTGCCCTCAAAGAGTCTGGCATGGCGATCGTGCAAGATCCGGTTCGGAGGGTAGAGGATATGGGCCTTGGCCCGGCTTTAAAGGCTGTTTGGGGTTTAGGGTTTAGGGTTTAGGGTTTAGGGCTGTTTTAAGCAGTGGAGGGAGCTCATATTATGGGGTCCTTGAGGTTGAACTCGACCTCTGCTTTGCAAGAGTTGAATGTTTAGGGTTTATGGCTTGAGGGTTAATACGGTTGATGGACAAAATCCTGCATGACGTTATATACCTAAACTATGGGATGTGGGTATAGGCGGATTTTTGCGCGGAGGCGTTGGCCGCGGGCCGCG